AAATAATATTATTTATTGCAGAATAATTTCTGTAAACTTTAATAAAATCTTATAATTATCTGATTATTTTTTTAGGATTTAAAAAACTAAATTTTTGGTCTTCAAATTTATTATTTTAATGCTCAGCCAAGGGTAGCGGTTGCCCAGAATGAGTCGGAAGAAATGTATTATTCTAATGTCTTATTTCAAACTCAGCCAAATTGTGCGTGAATGTGTGTGCGCGGGAGCTTCTGCATATATTAAATGGTACAAGCATATGTAAGTCACTCATACACAACACAGACATATGCTTACATATTACATATGTGCATACATAGTCAAACATTAATAAGTGCATGACGGGCAGAAAAACATGTTTTTTTTTATATAATTTAGATAGCATGTAGTTCTTAAGTTTTTGCTATATGCTAAATAGGTATCTCCATTAATTCGGTAGACGTAAGGTTTAAAATGAATTTTTAAAAATAAAAAAAGTTTTCTTGAAGCTTTCCTTTTAGCTTTAATTGGAAGCTAAAGGATATAAAATTTACTGTTTCCAATAGGCAAAATACACTCTAGTGTATTTCAAACAGAATTTATATTGATTAGAACTGATTTTTGTGAGAAAAATCGATAAAAATGGACATTTTTGACACATTTGTAAACAAAAGTTAATTCTCGCTTTTAAAAATCTTGCAAAAATAGAATGTATATTTCTGAAACGTTATTTGAAAAAATTAGCAAATTTAAAGTCAAATTAATCTGACTTGAAACAAATTTACTTATAGTATAAAATTTTGTATACAAACATTTCTTAGCTACGGGGTCTTGTTTTTCTGTCCTGTTAATCGATTTCCTGACAGCCGACCGTGTTCATAGTTAAGTAAGGTAGAACTGACGATAAACTTTATAAGAGGGAACAACCATTAAAACATGTGACCTTTTAATAATAGATTTATCGGTTTGTACATCGATACTTCAGAAATTCTACATGCAATCACACATGAAAAAATAAATCGAAATTCATTTTAAAATATTTGCATTCATCAGACTGTAATAAGCTTCACAATATATGATGAATAAATATAGTTTTACTTAATAACAATATTTCCAAAGAATTATCACTCAGAAAATGAATTTTAAAAGATTTAAAAATTTTATAAATTATTCAATTTAAAATTTAAAAAAAATGAAAACAAATCTTGTAAAAATTCATTTTTAGTCGAAAAATCTTTTTAGCGTTTTCGTGGTGGTACCTAAAGTCAAATGTTGTTTACAGGTTTTTATAAATTAGACAAAAAGAATAAAAACAGTAAAGAAGATTTTATTTTGAAAAATCGAATAAAAAAGCAAACATTTAAAAAAGTCATCTGTAAGGTCTTAATGAATTCAGGTATACAAAATATGTTTCAATGTGATTTTAACATTGTAACATTCTCCAGGGCGCTAGAGCGGACCTATCTCAATGAGAATCTACCAGGAAGATACATCGGGTGTGCCAGTGATAATGACAATGTGTTGTTGAAATGGCCACCACGTTCACATGACTTGTGATTTTTTTCTATGTAGTTAAGTGAAAGGACAGGTCTATATCCCCCTCTTCCTATAAACCTAGAAACTTAAGCTGAGAATCACTGAGGCGCTAAAAGAATGTTAAGACATGCTACATCATATTTCGCGGGAGCTGGACTACCGACGTGCCGTGTGTGGTTTCACAAATGGGACACATATTGAAGATTTTTGAAGATTTGGGAAATCATTTATAAAAATCTACATTCCTTTGAATATTCTGTTTGAATTTTGATAAACAAATCTTTTATTGTTCAACATGAAGTCTATTTAATTTCATTTGCCTGGCACATGCAGTTACTCAGATATTCATAATTTTAATGATGTCATTTTTTTTTTTTTCTTTGTTGGCGGGGGCGCCCTGTATTAAAAATCTGACTCCATTTAAAATGTTTTTATTTTCACATTGCAAACAACGTTTATGTGATCTTTGCATATTTTGATAACACATTTATTTAAGTCGGCCGTCCGGGGTATGACGATAAACTACGTCCAACAGCAAGGCCTCTGATCAGGAGGTTTTGAAGAGCGTGGAACCCCCTCTTAATTGCTGGTGTTCTCAGGTCCACCCTGACCCGGGTTGGTAGAACTTGTTAGGGTCCCAGCTATGGGTAAATAGTTAACCCCTAAACTGGGATCAAAACACTATGAAAGTGTAAAAATAGATTTTAATAACAGAAATACTTTTTGTAAAAAAAAATATTGCCAGCAATACATTTTTGAAGTAAAAATTATTACCAAAAATAGATTTATGAAGGAAAAAAATATTACCAGCAACAAAAATTTTGTCGGCATTAAATAACCGATTGAGGTTGATATACCGTAAAGCAAAGCAAAGCAAACCATTTAAGTCGGTCTTTAATTTATGGTCATGTGTTTGCAATTTATATAAATATTATGGGTGAACTGGGACCTTCAGAAAGCTATTTCATTTATCCTGAAAATTTGACCGGCCAATTCAAATATCAAGAAAAACACCCCACGATATGTTTTCCATAGAACGATTCAACGGAACCCTAAAGACGATTGGAACTCCTTCAGATTTTATATGGTGGAAGCTGCTCTCTCAACCTTCTTCGAGCATACTGTCCCCCAAAACTGAAGATCTCAGCCCGGAATGGATCCTTTGTGGAATAGAGAAAAAAATCCTGCAAAAAACGAACACCTAGCTCTGGTCTATCAATCTATTACAACACAAACACAAACACACACACACACACACACACACATACACATGTATATATATGTGACAAATTGAAAAAAGTTGGTGTTTTACAGATGCATCACAAGAGATATTTTTTTTCATAAATCTTTTCTTTCAAAATGCTTTTTGATATATATATATATATATATGTAAAAATCTATATAAAAATTTATATATCGTCATCCCATATGTGTATATATATATCGTCATTCCATATGTGTGTATATATATCTATCTATCTATCTATCTATCTATCTATCTATCTATAGATAAATATATATATATATGCCTTGACCACTCGGCCACCATGAACCTTATGGAAGATTGTAGTTTATAACAGTAAATTCGATATATATATATATATATATATATATATATATAATCATATATATATATATATATATATATATATATATATATATATATATATATATATATATATATATATATATATATATATATATATATATATATGTGCATATATATATATATATATATATATATATATAGACACATCGTTGTCTGTATATATATACATATATATATATGTAAATCTATATATCTATATATCTATATCTATCTATCTATCTATCTATCTATCTCTCTCTCTCTCTCTCTCTCTATATATATATATATATATATATATCGCAGGGGTTGATGTATAGGACATTGCTGCAGTTAGAACTTCCCGAAATCATTACATGAGAGTTCTTAAAAATGCAAAGTGTAGGTTCGATCTGATGAACTATTTAATAACATCACTCGAGTTTTTAGTTTTGTGTTTTCGTTTTGTAGCAACTTGAGATTTTGTGCGAATCTATCCCAGTGCAGTTTGTTCTGTGTTCAAGAATATAATCATCAGATACGCTGGAGGTCATAACTTAGATTTATAAGTGAGCGTTTATGTATCTTTATGATTTTATGTAATCGATAAAACCTTTATTAGTCTGAAGACATTTCTTTCCAGAACAAAACGCGTCAGTAACTCTTACCCTCTTCTTTTATTCCATTTTGGCTTTGAGCTGTATTTAACAAATATTACTGGCAATCAGTCGATAGCAGTGGTGTTATCTACTTTAAATGCACTGTAATATAAAAAGTATTTGTACTTTAAGAAGTACTGATAATAAACGCTTATTTTTGTGTGAGTTATTTTGTATGAGTTATTTTGTATTTTTCATGTGTGGTTATATTTATTTTCTCTTTATCATATCTAACAAGCAATGCCTCGTCAAAAGATGAAGTAGTAAGCGAGCGATAAATAACATTTACGTAGAAAAGCGCCGAGAAGCAACAATGGTGAGGTGTTCAATAAAAGAGACTGAACCAATACATCTGGCTTTCGGCGTAGCTCCGAGAGGCGAATCCGGCGCCAAGAAAAACTTTGGTCGCTGCCAAAATCAACAGTGTGTGCCAAGTGCGAACCATTATTGTTAAAAGACAGCAGAGACGTGGGCAAGTTTTTTGTTATGATTTTTTTTTACCGTTTGCTGTTTAGGGTTGAGCTGTGTTTTGGAAGGAAAGTTACTTAGTCTATCTATCTATCTATCTATCTATCTATGCCAGTCTATTTATATCTATGTATCTATCTATATATCGATCTCAATCTGCTCATATCTATCACGTTCTCACAATCTAATCTGTTTATATCTCAATCTGCTATGTATCGCATCTCTCTCTCTCTCTTGTTCTGTCGCACTCTTTCTTTCTTTCTCTCTCTCTCTCAATATATATATATATATATATATATATATATATATATATATATATATATCAGCATGCTCATATCTATCTATCTATCCTAATCTGCTCATATCTCAATCTGCTCATCTGTCTCTCAGCCGCTTCTATTCTTTCTCTGTTTCTTGCACACACACTCTCACCCTCACTGTATCAACATATTATCTATCTATCTATCTATCTATCTATCTATCTATCTATCTATCTATCTATCTATCTATCTCATTCTGCCATACATCTATCTATCTATCTATCTATCTATCTATCTATCTATCTATCTATCTATCTATCTATCTCAACCTGTTCTTATATCTCTCAGCAACTTCATATTTGCCTCTCTCCTTTCACTATCTCTATTTCAGCATATCCACATCTATCTATCTATCTATCTATCTATCTATCTATCTATCTATCTATCTATCTATCTATGTCTTATCACTATCTATCTATCTATCTATCTATCTATCTATCTATCTATCTCCTTTTTCATCATCCTCTTAAGAAATGATTACACAATCAAGGATTAACCTCCCCCTACCTTTAGATAAAAATATAAAGACTTGCTGACTCATTAAAAACTAATCATATTTCACATCCGACAATGATTTACAAAAAAAAAAAAAAATGGTTTATCAATCGATCGCCACTTAGCCATATTTTTTTTAAAAATTCGCAACTGTTCATATATATCTATGTCTATTCATTATCTATCTATCTATCTATCTATCTATCTATCTATCTATCTATCTATCTATCTATCTGTATAAGCCTGATCTCGTGCGTAGGGAAAGTACTAGTCACTAACCACTATGGTACGAGGTTACAATAAAAGATACAGAACAACACCAAAGCATATAGCGATTGAATGTGTCAACTCCCATACAATGGCTGACTTTGAAGAAGAACGTCCAGACGTTATGTATAAGATAACGTAAGAATTGATACCAGTTATCTCCCCTGGCAGGGAGAACGAAATAACAGTATACCTATTTGGATTGAAGAAAGAGCTCTTTTCGTAATTCTGGGGTCATCAGAGGATACGTCATATCTGTGAAGAAGGCCGCTGATTAAAACTGCCTATAATATAAGACGATGGCAGTGATAATTCAGATACGTTAATGTATCATAATGAGAATTCTTCATCCTAATCGAATGGCACTTATTCTACAATTTTGACGTCTCTGCCTGGATTCCTATATGTTATTTACTATTTTTTTTTCTTTTCAGTAGGAGTAGATAGGATCGCTCGGTTCACACAGCTTTTCCGTCTTTTGGACAGGTGTCGAGGTTTATACCTTGCTTCCTGTTTAGAATTGGGGGTCCAGTTCCTATTCTTAAATTCTCCTCATTCTCCCCCACCCCCGTAGTCCATAGCGTCTCGGTGGGATTATCGCCTTGCTTGGTGTGAAATGATTAGAATAAATCGTAAAAACAGGCTACATACATACATACATACATAGAAGCATACATACATAGATGCATATATATGTGACGTGCTTTGGGATTCTCGGCCACGGAGTGCGTTGATGGTCAAGCAAAGATGAATAGTGCATTTAAACACAGATTTGTCACACAAACACACGACACACACACACATGTCTCAGTTATTTCCCTTTAATTCACCTTTGGTTCACCGCTGCTGTGGCCTGGTATAGAACTCACAACTCTTTAGGTCGAGTCACTAGATCTAACCAACGTCTTTTTCCATTGGGCCACATGTCCTTGAGGACACCCGGAAGGGTCATGGCATGTGGAGCTAGAAGAATCTACCCCAGTGGATGAAATAAAGGGTTCGATTCGAAATTCCAAACACCTGAAGAAGGCCGGAGCGAACAACAGCCGAAACGTTGTGAATATGGCAATGAAGATGAGGATAAGAGACCGAATAATACAAGTAATCATAATACCTCATCTCAAAGATATAGACAGAATGTGCTGAATATTTATACAATTAAAGAAAAATGCAACTATATAATTTACTTATTTGAAATCTCTTTCTGTCTTTGATTATTATAGGTTTTTATTATAGATACGACCTTTCAGCCAGTACTCTGACCATTTTCACGTGCCCATCATTTTTTTGACTATATGTGGGATATAAGTGTCGCAAAATGCTGTATTATATCCAATCCCAGACGGTAAAAACATTTCGTTATTAGTACGATTTCTTATTCTTTTGAAAAGTATTTGTTTTTATTTTGAATGAGGAATTGCCAACATACTTAATTTAACTAGAAATTATGTTATAGACACGACGTTTCGTTCAGGTACCCTCTGACGGTCGCCAGGTGTCTATTATCTTTAGCTATAAGATATGCAATGTGTTGATTGTTGGACTGTTTCTTCCCTGTTGTGTCGGTTTGTTCCTAAAGCAGAGTATATTGTTTCATTAAATGATCCAAAGATTGAAATGATGTCCACTACACTACAACAACCCTTGATTACAACCCCCCCCGGCTCGTCATCTTCACTAAGCATTCTATTTCTAGAGACAGGTGGTTCCGCCATTTTGCAATCACGGCTGCTTTGAATCTCGTGATTCGTCGGTCTTCTAGAATCAAGGCATCAAACCCTCTGGATGTATCCTACCGTGCGCGATCTTAATGGGTGACCAGATCGACTTTCATGATTCTACACACACACTCATGCATATATATATATATATATATATATATATATATATATATAAACATATATATATATATATATATATATATATATATATATACATACAAAAGTGATATATATATATATATATATATATATATATATATATATATATATATATATATATCACTCTTGTGTATGATTATAATGTCATATTAGGGCTAAAATCATCGATTAATTAATTGATTTGATTCTCCGTTGCAACCTTATGCCAAGTGCTAAAACTTGGGATGATCTCAGTTCATCTTGAAAACATTTCTTTCAACCAACAAAGAAAAAAGAAAACAGCAAATATATAAATACTAATAAATTTATATAATAAATTATTCTTGGCAGCTATTACAATAAAAAAACAAAAACAAAAAAAAAACAAAAAAAATAACAAAACAAAACAAACAAACATAAGATCCCAAGATATATAACCTTTTATAAAGATAATTTTGGTCGATCACTATACGGCAAATGAGAAAAGATGCACTCCCCTATTTAACGCAGTCTTCTAGATTCGATTCTTGTAAAAGTCACCTGTTGATGATCTGAAGCAACAAACTGCTGAGAGAGGAGACCAGAGAGTAATTAACAAAGACAATATGTTTAGCAAACAGACGCAACACTGCTAACATAGCGAACATTTTACAATTAATAGGAGTAGATAGGTTCGCCTCTCATCTTCTATATTTATATGCCATGTACCTTCAGAACGTTGGGTATCATGGATCTTCACAGCTTCTTTTCCGATGTACTTCAAATGTTTATCCTCTTATTAACTGTCCTAGTCCATGATAGGCTATCTGTTTGCACAAGCTCGTTAAGAAGGTTAATCGCTGTTTCCTACCGGCCCGCTCTTGCCTTCAAGATATCATATGAGTGCCAAATTCTCCAAGCTGTCTTTTCTTATTATGTTTACAGAGATTTCAACTGTCACCTTCTGATATTAAGCCCAAGTGTTAATTTCTTTCCTGCTTCCTTGCCATTCTGATCCTTGCGTACCTGAACAATTTTAACCCTTCTGCCTGAGAACGTAAGTCAAAATTCGCAAATAATTGCTATGTAATGTTTCACGGTAGATATAAAAATGGTTACTAGTGTTTACTCACCGTTCAACCAGTAGCTGAAAAATTAAGTCATTTTTCTCTACCACTTTTCAATCTGTGGTTCGGCATTACGTCATTTTCTCTACTACCGGTAAAGCGGTGGCTAGGGCTCAAAACTTCCTCGTTGCTGACATGTTCCGTCCATGGTATTTTTCTCATCTATCTGTAGAACCACACCACTGTTGGTTAAATACGCCCTGAAAGTTCTCCACTACCTTAATCGGGTATTGAACTCACACTCTTTGGGTCCTGTCACTGGATCTAACTAACGCCTTTATCCACTGTGCCATGCACACATGCACAGTGGATACAGGCGTTAGTTAGATCCACTGACAGGATCCAAAGAGTGTGAGTTCAAAACCTGGTTAAGGCAGTGGAGAACATTCAGAGGGGAATTAACAGGAGATAACTGATAACTGATATCCATTAGACATGACACGTGGAACTAGAACAGTCTAATCCAGTGAGCAAAATAAAGGGTTCACTTCGACATTCCAACCACCTGAAGAACGCCGGAGCGTTGTAATAAATATAGCGACAAAGATGGGGACAATAGTCCGAATAATGTAAATACTGTACATAATACCTCATCTCAGAAATATAGATAGAACTTTGTTTTGCTTTCATTGAAGGACACTCTATTTGATTAAATGCTTAATTTTTTATGTTATGAATTAATATTTTAAATTGTAACCTACACTCAACGAAAAAAGATACAAAGAAATATTTTGGCAGTATATCGAAGACAACGGCGGCTTAACTTGTCAAACCAAGCGACATCAAGTCGCGTGTATCCTACGACGGAAAATGTGGCGAAAAAGAAAAGTACTTACCAAAAAAAAGGGCACGTATTCCGCATGGCATGCTGGAGACGGGATATGTAAATTAAAAACAAGTCCGTCGTAGGAATCGCCGTAAAAGTAATTTGATTTGCAAAAATTGGGTGTCCTCTCCCAGTTGTCGACGAATGGAAAAAATGCTCGGCCGATAAAAGCAGTTATGTTTTCTAGAATCGGTAAGAAAATTCGAACATTTTGGCTACCGCTTTTGTCGGAGAGTGAGTTATTTTTCTGACTGGTTACCTGCATTGCGATTTGTGAGATAGTACCGGCGAACCGAGTTTTCGGCATTTCTTTCTGCCACCGTTATTCGAGTATGGACTTACAGTGATTTCTTCTCTGCGTTGTGGAAGTAACCTGCGACAAATATTTCCTTTGCAATCCCAGATCGCTTACAGGTAGCAGAGTAGTTTTTCTTCCTTCCCAGGCGAACTTAAATCCACCTAAGAAAGCAAGTAGGATTTGGTTCGTTTTTTTTTGTCGTTTTTGTTTTATGTTTTGCTTTTTTTTTTTCCTCTTCTTAACGCTTTGCCTGTCCTACGCAACATATGTGATGCACAGGGCATGCAATTTCCACGTCCATGAATCACATATGGGGCACACAATTCATGATTTTAAAAGAATGGTAAAACTAAGAAGGCTTAAGAAAAGAATCTACTATTGAGCAGGACGTCTGAAGAAAAGCCTAACCTAATGGTTTGTGCATCGCATGACCGTTAATTAAGTTCTCAAATGAAAGGCATCGATTTTTCCACTTTATTGAAATGATCATAACTTTTCGTTTGGAAAAAGAAGAGTTTTAACACCAAGAAGAATTATTGTTTATAAAACCGAAAAGAAAACTTTATTTTCAGTGAACAACCAAAAAACTAACATTAAAATATACACATTCTATTTGCCAAATAAAC